TGTGGCTGGTAAGCTGATGTCAAACTATGTGCTGCACATACAATCAGATTGATGGAGCATTTTCTTTATGTCTTAAATATCATTATTAAATATTATGAATATAAATAGAAATGAAGGTGATAGTTGAATGTAGTCTTCAGGGTTAACCAGAAATGTATACTCATATCAGTATTTCAAATTGCTCAGCAAAGGCCTGTGCTTAGCCGGGAGTTCAGACGAGTCCACTGGCCAGCGGTCTTTATTCCTATCCATGTGGGACTCTCTAGAAAAATGCTTGGCCTTCCTCACAGCATGGAAGCTGGATTCAAAGAGCAGGTGTTCCACTAGTGAGGAATTGCAAGTTTCTAGTTTGTCAGGGCCTGGGCCTATATGTTAACACATGACCATGGTTACCATATTCTATTGGTCAAACAGTCATTGAGTATACCTAGGTTTCAAGGGAAAGGAATATAGAAATGGCTTATCAATGGAAGAGGTCTCAGAGAATTCACAGCCTCTTTAATCTGTTATGATTATCCTCAAAGTAATCCCTTTGTGGTGAATAAGAAAAATATAAGACTTTTAATATAAGGTATGTACTAATGTGTATGCCAAATTTACCAAGACTTTAAATATGATAAGCTTGCAAAAGTAGCAGTTATCTTAAGTCTAAAAGTCTTCAGGAGAACATATAAAATTTCATAGGAGGACTATGAAATTGACACACATTAGCCTAGTTATTACTAGTAAATTGTATGGATTGACTGTAAGGCATCTCCATTAGAAAGGTAAAATTATTTAATGGATCTCTGCAAAACTGGCCAGACCATGGGCATTCATGTTTAATGAATGACAACTGGCTTTCCCAGTTTTTTTCTTATCTTAATATGGTTAGGACACGTATTACCTTGCCTTCTAAATATTTCATTCCTCTACCTGCTTTAATAATGTGTATTCCTTCTATTTTTTTTTTCATCACTCAGTAGTGAGATTTTGACATAAAAAAGAATGTTTCTGAAAAGTTGTTTCTTAGTTTTTGGTGTGTAATTTTACTGGAAAAAATATTTGAACAACTACTGTGTCCCAGAAACATCTATGTTGGGGAAATACAGCAGTGAGCAAAAAGGACACCTGCTCTCAGGGAATTCACATTCCTAGTAGGGAAGATGGCTAAAAAACAGATAAAAAATATGTAATATAAGTTAAAGTAGTGGTAAATAAAGAATAATAAGGGGGTGGAGAGTGATATTGGAGGAAGGGGATGTTTAGACAGTGGGGTGAGAGAAGGCCTCAGTGATGAGTGGGGTTTTGAGCAGAGGAAACAGACCAGGCAAAATCTTGGAGAAGAGTGAGAGTGCTCTAGGCAGAAGGAACAGCTAGTAGAGGACCCTGAAGAGTAAATTGGTTTAAGATGTTGGAGTAGCAACAAGAAGGCTGGTGTACTGGAGCAGAGGAAGGGAAGGAAGACAGATAGGAGATATGATCAGTGAAAGAGGCAGTGCCATGTTTATATGTGGCCTTGGACCCTGACTAGGTTTGAATTTAAGTCTAAGGGTGATGGAAAAGGTTTTGAGTGGAAGAGGGCCAAAATCACATTCATATGCATGTATATATGGACTCTTTTTAATACTGTTTTATGTGAATTATCTCATTTAACACAACACCTCTGTGAAGATTCTAGTGTAATTTTACAGTTATAAGTGAGGATGGAGAGGCTAACAGAGATAGTGACTGGTTGGAAGATACACAGGCAGTAAGTGGGAAAGCACCACTCCTAAAGACTCTGCAAGGGTGCTAGTAGAGGTGGTGAGAAGTGATTGAATTGCTGTATTTTGAAGGTAGAGCTAACAGGTGTAGGAGATACATCAAGTAGTGGCTTGAAGAATGACTTTCAGGTTTTTGGTCTGAAAAACTAGCTATGGCTTTGCCATTTTCTAAGACGAAAAGTGCATTTGGCTGTTGGAGAAAGCCTGCTGTAAATTGAATTATTTTTTGGACACGTTAGATCTAAATGACTATTGGACATCCAAGAACACATATGTGTCTGTAATGCAGTGGGGAGGTATTATTTTGGGAGTTAACACCATAGAGGTAGTTTGTACAGATCAGTTTTCCTCATTATTTATTTGGTGTCATGCTCCAAGGCCTCTCTCATTAAAGATATGCTCATTTATCTCGGGGACACAGACGTTGGTGGGTAACACTGCTGTTCCTTGCCGTGCAGTACTATACTTGCCCTTACTATCTCTTTTGAAATGTATTTCTTTCCTGTGTTGAAAATATTTAAAGGAACTGATGGTTTCTCTTTTAAAAATATACCTATATTACATGAATTTATACATTGTACATGTGATAAATTTTATAAAATTATACACTAAAAGGGTGCATGTAAAAAAAAACTGGTGAAAGAAGGACTTTAGTGTGGTTGATTATATTGTGCCATTGTCAATTTCTTGGTTTTAATATATTACATTATATACATTATATACATTAATATATTATGTAGTTGTGTAAGATGTCACCATTGAGAGAAGCCACATGTAGATCCAGGGGAGCTTTCTGTGCTATTTTTGAAACTTCTTTTGGGTCTAAAACTATTTCAAAATTAAAAATGACAAGACAATAATATGTATAAATACAATTTAATCTCTTACGTTAAGTTGTTTTCTTTACTTTTACCCATTGTAGGGATACTACATACACATGAAAATGGGAGGCAGAAGTGGATATGTTTGTAATATGCCAGATTTAATGGGATGTTGATTTTTCTTCATTTATTAGTGCTGCAAACTTTTAATGGATTGGCATTTTTCTTCATATTTTAGCTTGAACTTTTCATACAAGCAGAATGAATTTTGTGTGCATATTTAACACTCCCCCCCAAAGATGAAGCGTGTAGTAATTTGTTAAACTAAAAGGCAATAATAAGGCCGGGCGCGGTGGCTCACGCCTGTAATCCTAGCACTCTGGGAGGCCGAGGCGGGCGGATAGCTCGAGGTCAGGAGTTCGAAACCAGCCTGAGCAAGAGCGAGACCCTGTCTCTACTATAAATAGAAAGAAATTAATTGGCTAACTAATATATATAGAAAAAATTAGCCGGGCATGGTGGCGCATGCCTGTAGTCCCAGCTACTCGGGAGGCTGAGGCAGGAGGATGGCTTGAGCCCAGGAGTTTGAGGTTGCTGTGAGTTAGGCTGACGCCACGGCACTCACTCTAGCCTGGGCAACAAAGCAAGACTCTGTCTCCAAAAAAAAAAAAAAAAAAAAAAAGGCAATAATAAGACGTTTGGCAAATGTAGCATATTGCAAACATCTTAGGGAGCCAAACAAGTTAAGCATGTCAAAATAATAGGTAGTTCTGTGATATTTATTGATCACTTACAATTTCTGGGCACTACTAAAAAGCATGATTGCAGCATTATTTCATTAACGCCTAAAATGCTCATTATTTTAAAAATATAAATTCCCCTATTTTTTTTCTGAAAATGTGAAATTCCATATTTGTTAGATGATTCTTCTACCATTAATTTGTCCACATTATTTCTGTTTGTCTTCTTAATAGCAACAATAGTGGAATAGAGATGTTAAGTCTGTGATTAGTTATATTTTTGTTTTTGTTTTTAAATATGAATATTCAAAGATTTAAAAACTCTGTCAAGAAATATCAACACTATATTCCTTCTACTCAGTTTTAACAAATATTGTCTATCTTAAAAATTGTCCTGCATCGGCATCAAACTCCCTAAATAACAACAGAAAAACTGACTCAATGCTTATGAAATAATAGCTTTCTGTTGCAAAATTATAATTTGTTATACTCAGAGGAGATCAACTGTTCTTGAAGAAACAAATGATTTTCTAAAAACAGTATATTAAAGATCTTAAGTTGCTTCCCTAGCTTGATTTTATACAACTTCCATGAAATGGGATTTGGTTGATGAAACTACAAAATCAAACAATCCATACTTTGTTTAGAAGAATCATTTTTCAAATGCTTGAAGGATGTAGGATGGAAATGATCATTGCCTGGTATTCCACTTCTTTGTGAAACATTTATGGAATTTCTGTGGTTATTAAACATTGTGTTTACTGAATATTAAGGTGAATAAAGTACTGCCCCCTTTTCAAAAGAGCTTCCTGTTAACAAGAGAGTGATACCAGAATAGTGGGATGGTTTGCGGGTGGTGTAATATTGGAGACTAGAAGACCTTTGTTCAGCTAGGCTGAACTCAACTACTTTTAAAAGTTTTTGCAAGATCAGGTCAGGTAGTAGTAGGTGAATTATAGGTTGAGATAGGGGCAGAAGATCAGGGGCGTTAAAAGACCCATCCCACTCATAATCCTCTGTAGAAGAACAGTGGTGAATGAGTTGACTTTACATGTAATTAAAATAATGGGATCAAAAAACTTATAATCACTGGAATACTGACATAGTTTAATAACAGGAATTTCCAGGCACTGCCAAAGTTTTGTGTTAGCTGTTAATTCTAACCCTGTTTGTCTCCAGAAACTTCTAAACATGGAGCATTTTAATTTGTCTCCATTCCCTATATTTCTGATGTTCTGTCAAAAATATTTATAACCAGGGAAGTATTCCAAAAACTGGAAGGAGTAAGCAATGAGAAGGAGCATACATTTTGAAACTGGATCATCAATCCCTGGAAAATTTAAATTGATTAGGCTTCATTCAGGAGGACTAGACTGGAGAATAACTTTAATCATGAGGCTAGGATTTCTTAGTCAAAATTGTAACTTTGGATCATCCGATTTTTTATGAAATATTTTAACCATTTCTCATGTTTTGTCATGTTGACCAGCATGGTAGAATCATGTTTATCAGACTGAAGGTAACATTTTCTGAGTGAAAACCAGGTGCCAGGCACTCTTCTCAGGGTTTAACATGCACTGTCCCCTATACGTGTATATAGATATCCTGTCAAATTATTCATAGATCTAGCCAATATTCATATTATTTTTTTTACTTGGGATATTTGTTTCATTTCATAATTTCTTCTCTTTCAGCTCTTCTTTATGCAACTATTTTTGGAAATGTTACTACAATTTTCCAGCAAATGTATGCCAACACCAACCGCTACCATGAGATGCTGAATAATGTACGGGACTTTCTGAAACTCTATCAGGTCCCCAAAGGCCTTAGTGAACGCGTCATGGATTACATTGTCTCCACATGGTCCATGTCAAAAGGCATTGACACAGAAAAGGTATGGGTTATTATTATTATTTATTACTTTTCTGTTTCAATAGGATCTTCAGATGCAGGTAGCTGTCCCACTTATTGCTTGTATAATTGCTTCATAACTGTTACTCTGTATTTCACAAGTGACATACCAATCAATCATATTTATTGAATGCTTAGAAGGTGCAAAGCACTCAACCATTAATCATCAATTAGTACTAGTCATCACATTCAATTTAGAGAATTTAGTTCCTAAAAACAACTAATTACTTCATTTCCCTAAAACACACTCATTACCTCTCACAGTAATGTTCTGTATCCCCTCATCCTGAATGCTGCCGTTTCTCCTGCTAGATTTTATTCTTGATTTGTCTTTTGATTTTTTTTTTGCCAATTTAAAAATTAGAAGGAAACTTCCTTGCTATAAACAAAAATTTTATTTGTCTTTTATGCTACGCTCTCTTTAAGTTTCTCTCCTCTCTCACATGTTTTATAGAGTACCTTATTCTTTATTTTCCACTTTGCCTTACACAGATCTATAAAATGAATACCTCCCTCTCCAATCATCTGACATCTCTGATTTCTTCCTTGTCTTTTCATAGAACTGCCTTTAATTTTTTTATAGCTATTTCATATTTGTTTCAAAGAGGGACCCAAAGTTCTCCTTCCAACAAACACAACCAAATTAAAAAAATAAAAAATAAAAAAAGCTCTCACTTCTTACACCCAGGCAATTCCCATCAAATACAGAGGATGACAAATAGAGCTTGCACACAGTTGTAGAGAAAACTAATCTTGAGCTGTTTTACTTTATAAGCATTAGCAGAGACTATTCTTTTTTGGGTACTGATTTTTGACATATGATAATCATATGGCACAATACCTTCCCTGTCATTTCCTACAATTTTTTTTTTGTTGTTGTTGTTCATTTAACCTTATGAAGTTGACTTTTGTTTTTTCTGTAAGACCTGCTCAACAAGCATCTTTCAGTGTCACAGGGGAAAAACAAATCAGCAAAGTAGATGTTTAGTTGGGGGAATTTCATGAAACAGTGAATAATTTGTTTTAAGCCAGAGCAGGTGTGGTTAGGAGCAGATGGTTGAGGGAAGGTGTAGGAAATGGACAAGGAATGTAAGAGTTGAGGGAGAGAAACTTTCAGAGGGAGTGCAGGTGAGACCCTTGGAGGTAGCTATGTGGAAAAATCATGAAATGAGGTGAAATGAGATTTGCTCCTCTTTCAATATTTTATAAGATGAAGTATAAATTTTCCAGTTAAATGACCATATAAAGTGCTGTGTGACCACAAAATGAAAAAAAGCCAACTACATTTATAGGAAATTTGGTTAATATACACCTGGGTCAATATGGTTAATGGGGAGAGTGTCCAAAGTGGAAACAGAATCATCCTCAGCGTGAAGGGGAGAGTAACAGAGTTTAAGTCATCAAATGCAGGGTGTCTTTTGAAGTGCACATTAAGTGAAATTGAGATTAAAGAGGCAACCACCTGCCTTGCCAATCACTATCTTAGTAAGAAGGTTTTCTTTCCAGAAAATGGAGTTGCATGGCACCTAACAGAAAACATCAGTGAAATGATGGAAAAATGGTCTTTTACATATTAGAAAAGAGCCTGACCCAAGGCATATGCCACAAATCTACTATGGGATAGATTTTTGAGTCCCTGTTCTCTAAATTCCTGGTTACTGGGCTGGTTCAGGAATGGAGTGGACTAGATTCTCTTCAAGCCTCCCCTCCAGGACACGCTCAACTGCCCAACTCATGAGGAGTGGGGTCTAATACACTGGCATGCAGTGTGTCTGCAAGTGCACTTGCCATGTGCAGGGAACAATTTATGGGACCCTACTTTCTACTGTCCTTCTTTTTGTTTTTTTGTTCTTTCCTTTGTTTGCTTGTTCATTGTTTGTGTTTGCAGAAATGTACTTCTGATCAGTAGAGCAGCTGGAGAAAATAGAATAATAGAAAAGAATGTGGGGAGGCTAATATTAAAGGTGAAGTGAAAATTTAATTCAAATGAAAAGGTTTTTTTAAGGAGAAACTTAAAAATATTAAAATGAATTAGCTTTTGGATAGGAAAAACTCATGGATGTGCCTCTTAACTGAGTGGGGACATTTTAGAGTTGCTTTTGAATAATAGGTGAAAAAGATTTAAATTACTGTGACAAATATAAAAGTTTTGTTGTACATGCATAAAACATATTTCATAAGAAATGCTGCACCCAGCATGAGAACTAGGGTGACAGCATTGTAAGTAAAGACAAGAAAGAAAAGATATATGCCAAATTCTGGGCTTGGAAAAGGGGTATAGGGATTCCCAGTAATTGAAGCATCAGTGAGTCCGAATTTGGAAATGCTTCTTAGGCTGCACACCCTATGCTGTACTGAACAAGATGAAAACAAAAATTGATATTCAGTTCTCTGGATTAGTAGAGAAACCAACCAACCAAAGCAGAAGATTCACATGCCTGTTAGGCATTCAGTTATTCAATAAATAAATAGCATATATAATATATAATTTTTAAATATAATAAAGAGTTGAGGTATAAACAGAAGAATTTGCAACTAAAGCAGAGAGGGACTAGGCATCTCAGAACTAGTCTTCACTATAGATAGTAACTGCATATAAGTTAAAGGATGAATTGCAGAGGTGGAATTAATATATTTGATATCATTACAAAATGGACTAAAAATAAAAAAAAAATATTTATAAAAGTCTTTCCTCGTGGCCTAACATAAATATCAAGAAGAACTGCGAGTTAATGTGAAATATAAGAGACCAAAAGCTATTAGAAGAAAATATGTGAATATATTTAATTTGCTTTTGTACATATATTAAAGTAATGGAATACATAACAAGGTAACTGGTAAATAGATTTGACTCAAAAAATGTAAAACTTCTCACACCAAAATACTATGAAAATGAAAATGAGACAAAGCATTTGCAACAAACGTCACAAATGAAAGGTTAATTACCTTAATATATAAACGGATTTTATAAATCAAACAGAAGAATTAGAATACTTGGGGATACAAATGTGCTGAGGACATAGGTAATTTAAAGAAGACAAAATGCAAATTACTAATAAACATACAAAAAAGGTTATTTTCACTTGAAACAGTAAAAACAGAAATGGCAAGAAACCATTTTTAATATGTCAACTGGACAAAAATAATGCCCAATCTTAGCAAAGGCTGTAGTGACTGTCACTATTGTATAATTCTGGATGGTGTACAAATTGGTAGAACATTTTTTGAGTGCATTTTTTGATCAAGATAATATCCTAAATTTGGGAATATTGTAAAGCTCAGTCCTAATACCTCTTCCCTTTTCTGTCTGTATTCTCTCCTTCAGTGATATCATTCAATCTCATGACTTTAAAAATTTATGCTAACATCACCCAAATATGCATACTCATCTTGGACCTGTTCCCTGAGCTATAGACGCTTCTATGCAACTGTCTACTCATGTCCAATGAAATTATGTAAAACCAAACTACTAATCATCTCCTAAAAACCTGTCTACAGACATTATTCCCTGATGCAATTAATAGACACTCTATCTTTCAATTACTTGGGGAAAAAACTCCCACATTTAAGCCTCCACCAAATCCTTTGGCTCTACCTCCAGTCTCACCACTTCCAGTGTTATAACCTGGTCCAAGTCACCATCATTTCCTAACTGGGTTATTAGTAAGCAACTGACTGGCCTGTGCTTTCACCTTTATACTCTATTCTCATTACAGCAGTAACTGAGCTGTTTATTGAACCTGTTAAAATACAAGTGTGAAAAAAATAACATGAAAAGTTGATGATAGTAATCATACAAATTCTGTAATTGTACTCACAATCTTAGAATTATGGATGTACTTTTGGACCTAACTTTAGTAAGTAGTATCTGAATTTTAACAATCATTATTTAATGTTAGAGACCTCTAAATTAGACTTCCTGTTCCTTAGTAAGGCAAATATTTTGTCTTACTATATGTTTCATCTTTCATATTTCATTGATTTTTTTCAAATATTTTATTAACAGTGTTATAAAACTTAAATATGAGCATTTACTGAAGAAAAAAAGAAATGTAATGTATGCAGCCAAATGTCTTTGTTTTAATGCTTCTCTTCTCTTGGTGGTTGTAAAACAGCTATATATTATTTCAGTTGCTAGTGCCATAGAATTTAATGATGCATGGCAGCTAATTAGAGAAAAATCTTAGCCCCAATGACTGAGAATTCCTTCTATCATTTCCACATATTTTGTTTTATAGATTTTTGAATTCAGCTTTAATCCACAAGCAAATTAATCAGTATGATTTAGTAAGTCTTAACTTGCCTGATGTGAATAATGCTTTCTGTAATACAATTATGGCATTAAAATATGCACTGATATGGAGATTGAAGCATTTCTATCATGAAAGTTCACTTTGAGCAATTTTTAAAATATATAACAGTGCCTAGATTAATTCTATTTAGTTGAAAATACTTTATTGACTACTCGTTGCTACAGTTGCTTTAAATTCTTTTTAAATTTAATAACCAAATCCGTCCTCTGGGCTTTGCTACTTGCTAACATTCTGTGCACATAAAAGAAAGAGAAATGGGTGGAATGAGTGAGGATTTAAAAGGGGGAGAGGAGATTATGGGAAAAAAATAGAAAGGATGATGGTTAAAGCTCAGAAAAATCTATCCTGCAGTTTGAAATGACTTTACTGGGAAATAATTCAAAGGAAATAAATGGCTGGGGACTTTATTTTCAGCTTTTGAGACCATGTGAAAATATGTACAACTTGTAAAACATTGTATAGACCACATATTTCCCATCATACTGAATTTTTTCCCAGTTTGTTTTATAAAATGAAGCCTAAACTCTTATCTTTTTATTTTGTACTCTCTTACTTTTTTCCTTGACATGTAGCTTGAAAAAAAAAAATAAGTAGGAAAACCTCTTTGGTCTTCATTTTTTGTTTCATGTGTTTTATAATAAAATGTCAGTAGGAACATGCTGTTATATAA